ACTCCAGAGTAGCAACAGCACAGTGAATGAATGGAACCAGTTTTTTTTTTCATTGTTTTGTATCCCAGAGCATAGGTACAGCCGGAAGCAGTTAAAACCTGTTTCTTTTTTTCTTGTGCTGCGAGCCTATTTGTGTTGTGTTACTGATTGGCATTGATGAGCTCTATGTTGCTCTATGGCTAAATAGAACACGGAGCATTTCTTTGATAAATCAAAAAGAAATGCTTTGAGGAATTCCACACTTAGCCATTTTTTGTTGAACTTCAAACAGAATCCCATGAAAATCTTCTTGCGAGACGCAGGAAGCTGCTCCATGCATCATAAACACAGAGGGGGTTTTGCATATGAAAATTAACCATGCAGTTCATGACAAAGGTTGAGGATACATAAGTTGCTTGGTGTTAGTGCATGTGACCCTAGTGCTGCTACATTTGTGTACACATGTGTTGTATGTGTGCAATATGTCTGGCATATGTGTGTATGTAGGATCAAACTCTCACACCCAGGAAGAGGCCCTGTTTCCCTTATCTAACGACAACAGAGCTTGTGTCGCCATGGCCACAGGCTGTGCTTTTTATGGGCTTTGTGTGTGTGTGTCCGTGGATGTTTGCGTGTGTGTGTGTGTGTGTGTGTGTGTGTGTGTATGGTTCATTGTTTGCCCATATTCATTGTTTGCTTGGGGTGTGGTGCAACACCAGAATTGTTACCGTGGGCTCTCTTCTCTCCTTCTTTTACTTTCTATCCTTCTTTCATGCAACTCTGAAAACTACCTACTGTAGCTTTTTTTTCTGCCTGTTATCCATATTTTGATTTTTAAGCGTGTGTGTGTGTGTGTGTGTGTGTATGTGAAAGAGCTATTGTGTGTCTGCCTCATCCTATCTCACTTTGAACCAGTGACAAGTTGGGCAACATCAAAATTCAGTGGCACATTGTCTCAGGTTGAGGTTTGTTGGGTGATTCCTACAGCTTAATTGAACTGAGGACTGCAGATAAAGAGTGCAATGTGAGGAGAAAAATAAAGAGAAGAGGGGGAAGATGAGGAAGAAGGGTGCTCTAACAGGCATACATTTTGCATGAGCCCCCACCACCACACCCTTTCTTCATAGAATGGCTGTGTACTGTTATGGGCTTATTAATGCCGCTCTGTGAGAGAATTATTTTTAGAGACTCTGTGTACTGGCAAAGGCGTTTAAAGTCACGAGTAGTACTTATTCTGCTCATAGCTCATCCCTTGTTAATTGAAAAGTTCAAAAAGTTGATTGACTTTGGTCTGAGTCTTTGTTCTGAGTAAAACAATGTTTCTTTTTAAAATGTTGTTCTCTACCAAATTCACTACATAGACTATTACCTGTAATACCATAATGCTCCTCTCATTATTTAGACGGTGTTTTCATAGTAGAGTAGACTGTCAAATTGTGCCTTCGCTAAAAAATTGCCCTCAGTTTTCACATTACTTTAGATTTTCTATAGTAATTCCTTGAAATAATTACTGTATTTTTAAATAGTTAAAATAGTGTTTTTTTCCTTATAATTTTGGAAATAGAACTAAAACGTGGCATAAAATTTAACCAAACAATACTCCTTTCAACATTTTAGAGCCTTTGCCAAAGTCAAAGTAAAGATATTCAACAAATGTAGACGAGGCTTTTTGTTCAAATTTAAAAGGCTTTGTCAGTATTTTTCAGATATTTAGCCAAGTTACGTAAGATGTGGCAACTATTATTGGAGTGTGCACTCTAGATAAAGTGTTTTATAGCTTTTAAGATTTTGATTAGTACAAGGTCATTTTTCTCTAATGACCAAATGACCGCCCCCAACCAAAATAAACAGATGTTGCCTGGAGGGCTTAGCGAGGGGCTTACATGAATTGTCCATCAGTCAAAGACAATCTTCAGTGGAGCCTCCAATCCTGCTATAATCCACCTCTCCAATGCACTCCAAGATAAAAAAGATTCCAGGGTTCTATTGCACCATTAGTACTGTGTAAATATTACATGTTTTTCCTGGATATGCTAGTTATCATTACTTCCACCTTGTGGCTTCATTATTTTTGAATCGCTCAGCATAGTCTGTGACTGTGAAAAGTATGACCTAGTTCTGGGACTCACTCTTTTTTCTCTGTCTTTCTGCTCTCACATTTCTTCCTCATTTACTTATTCTTGTGGCTTCACTGTCCCCCTCTACCTCATTCTCCCCTCACACTGAATGCGTCCTTTCTGTCATTTGTTCATTGTCTCTGTCCATTTACAGCCGCTGCGTTGGGTTCATCCTTTTAGTTCCTCTTTCTTCTGCCTCTGCTCGACTCTTAGCCTCTCTCTCTTACGAATGAATCCTTTATTTCTCTATTTGTTTCCATTCAAATTTTTTCACATGCCCTCTCCCCTCCACTTCTCTTTTCCCCTTAACCCTTCTTTTCCATGTTTTTATTCCTCTCTACCAGCACCACGTGTGTCCCTGAGAGAAGCATCGCAAGCAATGGTCCCCGCTGAACAATTACCATGCAAAGCAATCCAAATAGAGATGTTTGCCGAAAACAACATGTGTGTAATTATAGCTTAATGAGGCCCTTGTCTCAGGCAGAATGCCCAATTAGGCTGCCGATGAGAAAGTGATGCCAAGGCCTCCTGAAGAACGATGAAAAAAGGGAGAGAAAGAGAGGAAGGGTGGGTTTTGGAGAAGTAGAAGCAGGGAGGTTGTAACATGAAGGGAGCTGAGGATGGGGAGAGCATGAGGATGATGAGTGAAAGTGAACTGAGAGGAGAAAAATAAGCTAAGAAAAGGTGGCAGAATGGAGGAGAAGGATAGAGAGAAAAGAAGAAAATGAAGTGGAGAAAATAGGGAGAGGGCTACAACAGAAAATGGGGGATTTTTTTCTGCAGTTGATGTGGAATAATGACAGAGCTGATAGCTTTGAGCATTGGCTGAATTGCCATTTTAAGTGGAGGAGTGGAAAAGTGAAAAGAAGAGCTATCGAGAGAGAAGTAAGAGGAAAGAGGTTTACATTGCAATATATTGGCAGCCATGTTGATGCACAAAATGGCTGACCTTTCTAGGCTGTTTTTGCAAATATTGCATTCCAGATCTAAGTGGTGAAAGTGAGCATGATCTCAATTCCTTTCTTTCTATGGGTTAGATAGTAAATTAACAACAGTGAGGTGTTTGCACCCACATTTGCCAAATTAGCTGTAATGAAAGATCTGGCATTATTGTGAGACTAAAGGTGGAATTGTTTAGCAACTAAACTGTCCTGTCAACTCAGACAATTTAATTCCATAAATACATTCAGGTAAATCTAAAGTGGGTTTTGTTAGAATTTAACTGCTTGGTCAGGCAAGAAAACAGACTTTCGTGTGATGATTAAATTGTGGTAATTCCAGATGTGTAACCTGTGTCAGCGTTACTTTGGCCTTCTTCTTGAGCTTCAGCCTTTTATAATCATGCGATAGACCTGTCAATAATTAAACAAAATTTATCCCCAGAATGTAGCGTTGAGCATCTCTTTAGAATTCACTTTCACTTGACACAAGCGTTAGGTGCTTCCTTATTGTTTTTAGATTAATCCCACAAATGTAAATGAGACCTAAAAGCAGGGTACCGTAAAGCACTTGCCAGTTTCATGTTTCAAAGTGTGTTTGAATGTAAATGTAATCATTAGAATAACCAAGTAAATCCGCACTAGGGCTTCCACAAGATGCATCATTAACCAACCACTGCCCAGAGGCAAACACTTGTTCTCCACCATTCCTTCTGCAATAATGTACAGTAATTTCTCTTTCAGACCACTCACATGCTCATCTAGCTACTTTGGCTTTTTCCTGTCTACCAGTGTAGATATTAGATTTCCCCCCTTAGGAATCCTGCGCATTTCCGTCCATTAAGATGCTTATTTAGTCATTGTTCTTAGCAGGTAACTCTTGTGATCCTTTTGTGTTCTCTCCCATCTAGGGTTTGTTTATCTTTTAAGCCTTTGGTTGTCTTCTCTGTAGCCACAAAGCAGACCACCCCAAATGAAAAGGGCCCCCTTGTATCTTCACATCTGAGGAATTTGACATGGAATGCTGTCAAGTTCGATCACGTTTCTGCTGCTGTCAGTCTCTAAGTCTCATGTGCATTGATACTACAAAGCTTGGCCTCAGCCAGACAACAAAAATGTGGCTCCATTTGACACATTGGATGTCTGTGTGAGGGTTATTATCCTGTCTAGTCCAGGTTTGTTCCATTTGCAGCAAGTATGTTATGACAAATCTTCACTTCTTTAGACGCCTGCATAGCAGTCATCGTGATACTTCACAGGTTCGGTTACTCAGCTCTCCGTCTTATTTACTCTAAAGTTGAACAGAGATCCGAGAAATATGTAGCACACTCAAAATTAATCTGAAGAATTGAATGGGCAGGTATCACACAACAAATTAGAGCTAAGAGCTATTACATTACAGTACTGGTGACCCTGTGCTGTTTCCTGGCACCTGCACGGGTCGAGAATCATTTGCTGTTAAAGCGCATTCCAGCCCCACGTCAAGCTGTGTTTTGGCACCTTGCAATAAGTGATCTTTCATTACCTGATTAGCTCAAACTGGAAGACCCAGCATGACAAGTATACGCCACACAAACACACACACTGTACAGCACACACACAGTCTTGACAACGCGTTTTCGCTGTGAACACGTTCACAGATTCATTCACAATCATTGTCTCTCTCACACAAGCAGTGGAGCCCACAGGGAAAAGCCCATCTCTCGTCACTGTGCACATGTAGTCTAATTACCGGCCCACTGACGAACAGTAATTACCCACGCTGCCATGCCACCACGAGGTTTAACCGAAGTGACAAAGTCATTAGTCTCACACTTGAGGCCACCCATAAAGAGCTTTTCCTCTTTGTGCCACCTCCCCAGACAACCCCCCCCCCCTCCCCCCACCCCCGTCTCCTTTTTAATTATTTTCCCTAACTTCCTCATGCAGCTCACTGTTTGTTTATTCTCTCTGTTTCTGTCCACAGTTTGATGCTGACAACATGTACATGAATGACAGTAACCAAGAGTTTCGGTCACCAAACCAGGTAAGGCAGCCCACGTCCTTTCCTGTAAAGCTAACAGACATATGTAAATAAATGTGTGCTTCTGTCAGCATTTAACAAGATCAGTTTATAGATTTCTACATGTTGGGTTAGCCAGAGGATGTAAAATGTATACATTTCCTTGCTGAGGCATCCTAGTTTAAAAGTGGAACAGGACCAGGCTAAATGGCTTTTGGTTTATAGTCTGGTTCATATAAGTGGAAAATACAAGTCACTGTGACATGTCACTTTCAAAAGTAAAACATTTCCATTGTCAACTGATGTGGGTATGATGTGTACTCTCAACTTTGCAGTAGCCAATGTGTGCGAGTAAAAAAAAAAGAAGTGAAGAGTGCCATCCCATTATGATGGCTCCCATGTGGCTGCATTACTGTTAAATGTCCAGATTATTCCTTCCTATCTTTTGAAAATGTACATATCACTTGAGCTTTTAGGCTTTAAGTAAAAGCAATGTCTTTTTCAAGGTGTCATTTAGAGCAGAAACCAGTCACCAGTGTCAGATCAGCCTTAAAATAAGCAACACATCCATGAGGTTGAGCTTCGTCCCCTCTTAGAGACACTTAAAGCCTCATAAGCCAAAGTGTGGCTTTATCCACCACAAAACATTCGCCTTTTGATGATTTTATCCACCGCCCATTAGCATATCTTCAACATCAGAGGGATTAAACATGTGGGCATGACAGTGTTTGCGACCAATTAACCCAAAGAAACTAAAGCTAAACAGCAGTTAACATTTCACCAGTCCAAGTTCACTGAAGCTCCGGGCGTCAGTCTGGAGCAGTCTTAGTCACACACCCGGCGAGTTAGACAGGCACAGAGCTGAGTGCTCCCAGCTGGGAGATGCGAACACATGGCTGGACATATGGAAGAATTTCGAGCTCAAGGATTTGTTGATCCAGCAGCTCAGAGTTCATGTTCTGACAAAACACGATGAGGTGGAGCCCCCATGTCAATTAGCACCTTGCCAAATAAGTCAGAGTGGTGCTGGACGAAGCAAAGGGGCAGGCCAGCGGGGCTCATACACACAAACACGGAGTTTTTTTGTTTTTTTTCACACAAGCATGCCCACGTTTACTGTAATAGGAAGTGGCACGCTCTCTGTGACAAAGTGGAGTGTCACCAAATGCAAATGTTCACTCTGGCATTAATGCATTCCCAAACCTCAACCAGGCATGTAACCATGACAACCACTAAACCCCTAACCCTAACCTTAAAGGTTAAGTTCATATATAGAAAGTCTTTTTATGATGTCTCAGTGACACATAATTCTGGATTTATGTGTTTTGAATATCCTCTCTCAACACATCCTCTACATGCCAGGACAGACCCACCTCCTACTTTTGAGAAAGGAATCCATACAGTTTGTAGGAAAAGTTGACGTTTTTTTTTCTTTAACTTTGATCCACCTATCTGCCTCTTCTTAAGCTGTCAAATGAAAGAAACTTCAACCCTGGGCCCTTTTTGAATGCTGAAATGTGACGTATGCAAAGGACAAAACTTCACCCTCCAGTCGAGAGAAAAGTTCTGGACCAATCTGAAAGACCCCACCAACCTTTCTTTGTAGATTTGTGTAACTGACCCTTTAAAGTGAATTTAATTATAAGGCTAACCCTAAAATCATGCATTAACTCTCTGGCAGCCCTTTGAAGAGGTGAAACCTGCCAAAATGTCCTCACTCTCCAAAAATGTGCTTACTTCCACGGTGTAAAATCTAAATTGGGCCCTGCAAAGACTGATGAACAAGAACACATGTATGCACTCTTACACATTTGCGCTCATAAACCCCCTCCCCATACACACAAGCTCTCATAAAGCCTCATAAACACGCACATGCGTCAACACACCATCATCCTATAGCCATAAGGTTGCCTGTTCCTTGAAGTTGGGATGAAGTGACTCTAACGAGGGGCTGGGTGGGAGCTTTAGGAGCTTATTGTTTACTTACAGCACACATCACAGAACATGAGGTCTGCTGTTGTTTGACGCATTTCCCGGTCTGCCCTAATTATGTCACTGAGCGCGCGTACTGGTGTGTTCTAATTGGGATAAATGTCCATCTTTGTAGTTTTGCAGCTGTAGCGGTCATGTGTCAATCACCAACACCCACTCCAGATTTGCAGTGTTGTGTCAACAAATACCTTCTTAGTGGATAAGGCAATTTGGGCTTTTCAAAACATGTCAGCTGCAGTTGATGCTCTGTCAGTGCCGTCAAGTAGAAGCTTACACTCAACCTCTGAATTGCCCTGTGAACAAACACACAGCTTTCTGTTTAGAGTTCTATCCCTTTACAGAGGACATTTCATATAGATTTTTGGGAGTAGAACAACGCTATGTGGAGATTTCAGCACACTTTTTCAACTTCCAACAGCCAGCAACATGTAAATTCTGATTATTCTTAAGGCCACTTGATGTAATTGCCTACGGGATAAATGGTTTTGTGAAAAAAACATTTATAGACTTGCTACTTCTGGACATAAAAGTCATTTGAAACAACATTTGTCTTATTTCATTATTTTGTTAGCTTGTTTAGAGCTTGGAACGTGTTACATTTTAATGGTCTGGTGCATATGTTTTTGCACATATTCTATCACAGTTTACTGTTTCCTGTTGTATCACTTTTGTTAACTTAAAGAATGTGGCTGTGAGTCTGGTAAGTTACAGGAACATTAATTTAAATGAAGCTAAGTAGGCCATTTAGTTGGATTTTTGTCCCTCTTGTGATACACAAGATAAAGAGGAGGATTGATTTATACACAGAAGTATGTGTTACTTCACAGTAATAGTTGACAATGGGCCTTTTTTGTCGCTGTTTAAAACTGGCAGTTTGGCTTATGGCTGCATTTCTCGCATGCTGTAATACATATTTTTTTCCCCAAAAAATTACCTATATATCCTTTTTGTTTGTTTCCAAGTCAGTGTTTCCAGGCAGGAGTAAACTGTTTATCATCTTCTGGATTGGGATGTGGTAAACCAACTTTGTGAAAGTGCAGAAGTCAGAAACATTTAGCATGTAAATCAAAAGTCTTAGTTTATTTAGACAAACGCGACTATTTGGTTAGTTCTGAAGTCACTCTTTACCTCTGTGAAATTGATGAAAAAGATTGAATTAGAAAAGATAAAGGTTTTTATCTTCCTCTTGTTTTTTTTAGCAAGCACTACTTTAGTAAGACTTGAGAGGGGAATGCAGGGAATTACTGTATATCTACACATCAGGTCAAGCATATTGTAGAGCTAGATACTGCAAAGCACATTTTAACACGTGGTAAGATGCCAACCCGACCCCACACATGATGTGTGCCTGTGAAAACAGTGCATGTAGCCAGAACAGAAACTCCTTTGTTTGCATGTCTGGGGTCTTCTGCAGCAAACGCACTGAGGTAGCAATCTGACACAGCCAAAAGATTACATTACACATCACATCTCTGGGCTTTCAAAGAGGAAAAAAAACGCTAATCAGAAACAGATTTAAAGGGGTTGGTCCCTATATGCTTGGATGCAATCTGTCCATTCAAACAAGATGTTTTCAAGGCTTTAAATACTGTAAGGTTTGTTCACAGAATGTGCATGCAAACTGTACATATGGACCTCTAAGGCAGTTTGATGATATTAATGTTTTCCATCTGGATTATTGTGGATATTTCAGCAGATAAGCAAAAAGTATAGGAAGGATATTTCGTCGACCATAATTTTTTGTATGTAAAGCTATTGACAGAACGTATTGTGGTATAAAAGATTATATGTATGTATGTGTGAAGTGTTACTCTTGTTGTGGACGTTTCAGACGAGGCCCACATCTTGAAATTATTTCAAACAAGCACAGTTCTGATGTATGTTCATTGAATGGTGATCCCTATTTAGTTTATTTAAATTGTACTCGATAAATACTGTTACAATGGTGCTGTAACAGCAAATAGCGGCTGAGAAGGTGCCGGCTGAAGGAATACATTTAAGAATATCCTGACAGAATGTTTTAAACATAATTGACTAATAATAAAAATGGCATAATCAGCCTGCTAACCTGAAAAAATGCTGGCCCCTGTGTATATTTCTGCAACACTGTAATAGCTGCATGAGAATGATCACAGCCAAACCAAAAAGGCTCCCTTCAACCACACCAACACTAGTTCTAATTTTGTATGATCGGCAATAAGTGTTCTTTATTTGAATTCATATCAGACCTGCTCAGTTTGACGAGTGAGGTATACTTCTTTTTTGTATATTTTTGGATGTTTCAGTCAGCCTCTCCTCTCTTTGCATGTGTTTTGAATACGTGCACATGAGCATGTAACAGATAAAGAAGACGAGAAAATTAAGCTTTGAAGAAATTGCTGATTACACATAAAAGTTCAAGTAAAAAACATGACAGCGGAAGGACTGAGAGTCACTGGTACTTCACCTGTTTTACTGTGCACCTTTGCAGGAAAAAAAACTAAGCTAAGGGGCTGAGAGGCAGCAAGTTTCAGCCTGTTTATGCCACCACGTTTTCTCCCTCCAGGTGTCCTGCTGAGCCTTGTGTCTTTATTGATTTGGACAGCTGTAAGAGAACATCAGCTGATGGTTGACTCTGGCATGGAAAACTAAACTGGCTGGATTCAGATCTTTGTCGCACCTTAATGTTTCTGTCTCTTTCAGGATAGAATTTTGTCTCTTTTTTTGTTGTTCTTTTGTTACACCAGACTCTTCCTCCCACTCTCACATTTTTGGATGTTCTCCTTTCACAGTTTGTACACCAATTCTAACCCACTCATCCACTATCTCCCACAAATCACAACAGCTAATTTCAGTTCAGCGTTATTTATGTTCTTATATGGTATAATGTAGTCTTAAAACAAAAAAGGAATCACCTTTGCACACCTCTTGCACCTCTAGCTAATCGGACATTAAACCAGGATCAGTACTTATTAATGGATTAAACATCTAAAAAAAATGTATTTATACCTTATCTTAGCTAAGTGCATATACGAAAACTGGCAGAATTCCAT